AATGTTTTGGTTATTTTTTAAAGTTTCTGAAAAACTGGTTTTCTAGAAAACTGGGTCTTCAAGAAACATTGGGGAAAATGCTTTATGCCACTAGAATCAGCTCGTCGAGCTCTATCGATTGGGGTACTTCTCGTTAGCATCTGTAATTAACACTTGGGATAGTTCCCTCGTCAGAAAAAGAATATGGAACTATCGTATAACAGGATAACGATGTACGTATATATTCTTTTCTGTACTATACTTTGCTTGATGTTTCTTTTCTTTCTATGCACAAGAGAGAGATATAAAGCAAGAAATGGAGAAAAGAACAATTTTTATCAAAAAGAAAGATTCGCTTTACTATGAAATTAGTGTTTATTCTGGCACCTTTCCGGATTAAAAAGTTAACAAATTTGACAGTACCCTTCCTGAGCTTTTCTGGCAATTTGTAGTACACAACTTGTACTCTATACCATGCTATTTTTTAGAAAAAGATACCGTTTACGTTTTGAACTATAAGGCTGCCCATATCACAGCTGAACGTATGAAAAAGTAGGTGTCTACACCAATATAAAGCCAAATGAATTTTCAGCGAACTTTCTGAACTACCATGACTTTCCGGCTTTTACTTCGGGCCATGATAGTCAGAGATAATGTATGTAAAACAAATAAAAATGGTTAGAAGGCTGCTATTATCCATAGTCAGTATCTTCTTGAAACAGAGTAATTGATAATCAATGAATAAGAGGGTCAAATGATGAACAATAACTACTCATCCATTATCGTTATATTTATCATTGTTTAACGAAACATTCATGTCGATAAAATCCACGTACTAGTTCAGATAGATGAAACTTTGATGTTTTCTTCTTTCTATGCATACTGTATAGAGAGAGAGATATAAAGCAGGAAATGGAGAAAAGAACAAATTTTATCGTTTTATCCAAAAGAAAGATTCCCTTCACTATGAAATTAGTGTTTAATCCAGCATCTTCCGAGATTAAAACGTTTACAAATTTGTAACCACAGCGCCATCCGATATATAGTGCCAGCGAAAGAGTTAAACTGAGTTTGATATTCATGTGCAGTTAAATCAATAACATAAGGTCAAATTCGGCGTTTAAGAAATAAATAACCACTTATGCAAACGTCATAATGAAGTAAACATCCTTGGCGGACATGCGGATAATTATAGATTGTTCCGTCAAAATGCGAATGTTGATAGGCTGGACCAACATAGGCAACTAGATACAAGATATGATCCCAACAACGAAAATGAGTTCATGAGTTGAACAAATTTTTTTACGACATACTCAATCGCATACTGTTATTGTTTTTACGATATTAACACATAAGGCGGCGATAATTTCAACGATTTCTTGTCGTCTTAACTTTTTTCTCAAACACAATGAGAAATGATCACGAAAATAACACGCTTTTGATCTCGGTTGTCAAAATTTAAAAAAAAATACATACAATAGTCGAAGTGTAGGCAGAGTTTGAAGAGTTGTCACCATCAATAAATAATGGGCTAGAAAGTCTAGTTTTTCATAAGATAAACATTCACTGGAAAACTAGTATGAATCAGATAAAAAGTGATGCTAGTTTCTGTGCTCAAAAATATTCTGAGATCTAAAGCCTGTTTTCTTATTTGGTTTTTTTCCTGTCATCTAATCAATAATTTCAGCATTAAAAAATTTATTTTTCTTGACCGGGGTCTTTTACCTGGTATTTCTTCAAATTCTGTCGGACCAGAATTGAAAGTATGATATTTCAGTGATCTTTTAAATTCGGATCCTTTTTTTCTCCAAGTTCAGTTATGATCAGTATTGAGACAGTTAGGCATAGTCAAAATCTATTGAATTTATAGTTAGAAAGAAAATATATTATTTTATAACATCTCGTTTATAATTATGTAGCATACAGAATATTGAGAACATCAATATTAGCCATTTTGTGGTATTTGGTTAACAATTCCACTATCATCAACAAAAATACGAACACGATCAGGACGATAATCCATAGTTAATGGAGTATCTTTCTGAACAATAACTACATTTGTAAAACCTCCAACAAAACAAGAAATAATCATTTTGATTAGAAAACACATATAAATGCACTTCAAAACATACCGGCACGTTTAATAACTTCCATAGCATATTCACCAGTTTTTCCAACAAGTTCTCGCCAACGTCGATTTGATGGTTCATCTGTGAACGGCGGTGGTTGCGATTGATCATCCGGCACTTCTAAAAACATAAGATTCAAAGACCGTAAGAAAAATAGCCCTTAATGTTTAGTATTATTTTCATGTATCTTCAACAATACTCTTATATGACTTCAACTATTGCGGACGAAGTAATATTCTTTCAATTTTTAATCCGAATGGACGATCTAGACCCTACAATCTGTACATGCGCGAACAAGAAAATAGACTAACTCAGACCGCGGATTTCTAAGACAAATTTCTGAAAGATCCGACGTCGGAACATGCAGGAATCCGACAAACTCTGATACAATTCTACCGAAACCATGCCGTATTATGTCGGAATCTTGACGCCTGGATTCCGTGCAGGAAGATTTCGGTAATGATCCGACCGGATCCTTCCAGTTCCAGATATCGAATTTTCGCTGAAATTTGGCAGAATGTGACCGGATTTCGGGTATTGAAGGCTAAGAATAGCCTTAGATTTATTATTTCCTATTTTTCGTTCATTTTTTAGTGGCTCCTGTCTCTGAGCATTCGAGAGAGTGTAGGAGCCCACTAGCTATAGCATGTACAGCACGTCTATTGATTAGTGTGAGCGATGACCAAGGGGAAAAAAGCATACTTCTGTACTTCTGGTACTTCTCCGTACTTTTTGATACTTCTTCGTACTTTTTTGTACTTCTCCGTACTTCAAAAAGTACGAAGAAGTATCAAAAAGTACGGAGAAGTACCAGAAGTACAGAAGTATGCTTTTTTCCCCTTGGCGATGACGCACACTGTTAAGAATTTGAAAAGAAAATATTTTCCTGATTTTCATTTTGTGCAGTCTGGTCATCCGTCCGAACGCCGAAATCATCGGAATTAAAAGTATTCTACAGGATTCGATAGGATAACAAGAAACTACTATGTAGGTAGTCGTTAACTCATTCAAAAATGAAACCGTATTTACCGAAACCATTCGCTTTTGATGTAGAATTGGCAAAAATTTCAGAAAAAGGGAAAAAATGATACAAAACCGACAGATTTTAGACAGTCAAAAAGAAACGGTCGGCTTTTGATTTTATATTTTCCATGATCTGTACGAAAATCCGATTTTTCTTCTTCATTTGATTTTCAAGGAGTGGACAATAATTTGATTCTGAAGAAATTCAATGGGTCTATCCAGTAAGAGAAATTAAAGGTGATGACTTTTTTCGAATGTTTTAGATATATTTCTCTTTCAAAAAATAAGCTTTGTCAACTACTGTCTTATTTAAAAAAAGATTTTAAAGGTTTTTTTCTTTTGTTTGGCGAATATAAGATTATCGTGTGTTGACTTCTGGATGGAAGGCATTAGTTCTGCTTTTTCTATCGAGGGAGGCTATTCCATAGATATTTTAACGAGAAGTCCATTAAAAAAAGGAAGCCTCTTTGGTTATTTCGATTCTAATGAAAAGTTCTTTTACAGATATACGAAAGAAGAAGTCGACAGTAGTTCTTGCATCAATATTTTTCTGCTTTTTCTGATATGATGCGATTGTTTTGCTTCAAAATTCAAAAATGGTTTGTTCAAGGATACCCTTTATTGAACCTGTGAAAGTGTTTTTTTATGGTAATGGAACCGCAAAAAAGTCTTGAAAACATAATTGACATCTTAAAGTAGGTATTTTTACAGTTCTTTTTAAGGAAATACTAAATGGTCCAGAAGTTTACAGCCGTGTGAGAATATGATCAAATTACAATAGGAAAAATTAAACTATACACACTACTAGGGTAACAGTGATATTCAAAGAAAAGAACTGATTTACGGTTATCATTATGAAGTTCCCAGTAACTGCTAAGATGTTGATACAGTTGCAAAAACCACTCAGAAGAAACAATTCTAATGGCTTTACATACCTGATACTTGTACAACCGGTATATCAACAGTTAGTGGATTATCACCATTTTCAATATCAGCATTAATATTTTCATCATTAATAAATAATAATTGTTTTTGTAATGTTATTCTAGCTGACATTGAATATTGATGTGATGGTTTAACACTTTCTTTTTGATATTCTATTTCATAATTAATTGAAAATTGTTGTAAATTTTCTATTTGTTGGCGTCCAAGTGTAATAGTTTTCTCGTCAGCCATTGTTGTATCTTGTACTTCAACTAATAAACGTGCTGTTGATGGTAGTTTTATGTTCGATAATGGTAAAATTATTCGACCACGTATAATATTACCATCTAAATTAATACATTATTACTTGAATAAGATTGAACAAAAATATCCTTGTATAAATCTCTTACCTATGGATGTACATAGAAATAATAAAGATAGGGTAGTGAAATATTTATTAAACATTTTTTCTACAAAGAAAAACAAAGACTAAGTTTTGAAAATCTTAGATATACATACATTATCCATTGGTTACTATGACGAATTCATTTATAACGTCATCGTTTTTCTTCCATTTTCTCTTGGCTCTACGCAGTTACTACTTCTTATTTCTTATGCTAAGAAGAAACGGGCGCCAATTGTCCTTGTCATCAATAAACAAATGTTTTATAACATAAAATGACTCCATCCTTAGGTATTACGTTGCCGTAAAAAATGAGGAATGGTCAACTCGTTGATAACATTTAAAGGTTACGTACATTTGTGTGAATTCATTAAGCACCGAAAAGTAGGATATTTTTATTCAAATTCAGCAGAAAAAGTAGACATTCCCACACATCATTATCGATACATTTATCAAAAAACAATAAAAAAACAACGGGAAAACTGTTACGAAAAACAAGTAATACAATAACGATAAAATAATTGAGTTTACTGCTAAAGATAAACAGCCTTTTCTATATCTTCATCAAACACATGTGTATGTGTTGTGAGAAAATGAATGAAAGGTTATTCTCATGTATTTTCTTGTTCTCTGAATGGAAAAAATAATAAATAAATGCGAGAATAATATATATGCACATTGACAAAATTTCTTTTTAATTCTTTATGAAATGTGGCAGAACAGAATACAAGATAAAAGAAAATTAACAATAAATATATATGCCATAATCGACCTGGAAAAAACAGTTTTAGTCGTGTTTTTGAGGGCATTATGAATATAAATCTACATTTTAGAAAAAATTTATATATTCTGCTAGCGCTTGAAATTCCCTATGAGTCTCTGCTTTCGCAGCCTGGATTCGAAATTATTTGCTAGCAAAAATTTTAAATATTTTTATGTGTTCCACAGCTATAAAGAAGCTAAAAATAAAATAGTACTTGGTTTTTAAATTACGCGCGCCTTACTCCAAACACCACTATAAATTAATAAAAAATTTCCTAGCAGCAGATAAAAAAATCAGTATTTCTCCATGGGTTTTGATGTGAAAAAATTTGAAGTGTAGTGAAAAGATAGAGCAAAGTTGGGGCTACAAAGTGGCTCATTTAGTTTTCTAACTGTCAAAACGTTAACACCTGAAATCGGCAGAAGAAAAAAAGGGTTCATGTGGAATAGAATACCAGATTTTCACAGTTTCCATTTTTTTCGTCTTTCGTTTAATCTGCGTAGTTTTATTGATTGAAGTTCTAAAGTTTAAGTATAATTTTGTAGAGTGTTTCGCAGTGCATCTTTTTAAAAAAACGTTAACCTTTAGGTCGTAGACAAACCCAAGAGAAATAGAAAATACTGAGAGGCCGCACCTAATTTCTGGGAGTAGGGTAGGTGGGTGGCATTAGTAATATTTAAAATTTTTGCTAGCAGATACTTTCGAATCCAGGCTGTGAAATCAGAGACTAATAGCGAATTTCAAGCCCTATCAGAATATATAATCATTTTTCTAAAATGTATTTTACAACAACATAACATCAGAATTATCTTTTCATTTTCTTTTTAGAAGATTTTCTTTTTCGAAAACGTTTGATACAGTCAAAATAATCGCAACGAAATTACGTTTTTTGTGCTTCTAACTGTAATTTCTTGGTCAGTTTAAAAGCTAAGCAACATAAGTTTTACCAAATCTGTCTAGCCATGTGGTCAACAGCTGCTATGAGTTAGACTAAATTCGAGTGTATAGTCGAGTTTTTTAAGAAAAAGTCAACCGTTATGGGCACCAGAAATGGAACCGTCATTCTGAAGCAATTTGCAGTTATCAAAAACTCAGCTAATCTGCGTTCTTTAAGCGAAAGCTTAAGCTGGCAGTGTTGTAGAAAAGTCCATGGGCTATCGACTGGAAAAAAGAATTTTATTATAGCTCCGAAATTAACGCTTAAATGGCTAAAATATTATCGTTACAGGTAAACTCCATTAAAGTCATCGAACAGAAAAAGAAATTAATATGAACGACAAGAGAATAACAGAAGAGACAAAAAGTATATGGTGGGGAAAAAACACGCTACTAGTTGAGGGTGAGTGTGCAACATGTGGAAATCAGCTTGATATCCTGTAACGTGGCCAGGTAGCAGCCGAGATACTACCACAGTCGACACTTTTTAACAACAAAGACGGCTGGTTCCTCAACTTGCACTCGAAATAAGAATTGAACATGTGCGTGCAATATGGTATCTACACACTCATGGTCGGACTTTTTTTAAAATGCTTACCACAACAACGTTGGGGCAGATCTGCAAGGCTTTGTAAATAAATCTTTCTCTTGTTGACATCGATTTGTGCCTGTTCCGCTTCAACTAACGAGGGAAGTCCACCAACGTGAAAATCGTTTGCGGACCAAAATCCAGTGGGTCATAGGTTATCGACAGTCCTGAATCCGAATATCACCATGAGACCGGCTGCTAGACCTCTAGAGACTGGTTACTGAACTACCAGTTTTCCAGAAATCTCAAAAAATCGCTAAATTTTTTTTCACGATTGTAGCCCGCAAAATTAGTATCAAAATGAGACATCCCTCAGCTGTACATGACCTTTCTTTGCAAAGTTATAGAATTTACAATATAAGCCCTAAATATTCATTGTCACTTCAGAGCTACAGAAGAAAAAAGGAGAAAGGATTTTGGGGCTCATCCTGTAAATTCTATAACTTTGCAAAGAAAGGTCATGTAGACCTGAGAGATGCCTCATTTTGATCCTAATTTCGCGGGCTACAATTATGACTTATTTAGAAAATTTTTGGAGATTTATGGAGGTTTCTAGAAAACTGCTTTTTCCAGTAACCAGTCTCTAGAGGCCTAGCAGCCGATCTTAATGTAATATTCGGATTCAGAACCGTCGATAACCTATTACCCCACTGGATTTCCCGCTAACAATTTTCAAGTTGGTGGACTTCCCTCGTAAGCCGGGAATGTTAAAGATGACGTAGGTCGCACCATCGCTGTTACTTCTTCTTATTCTGTGGTAGTGGTGACAGCACTGCACGAAGACTCATGGACAAAGGTTTCTTGTTGAAGGAAGATGTTTGCGAGAAAACTCTTGCCGACACCACTGTTCCCCAAGATAATGAGACCGAACCGATTATGTGACGTTGATCTCGCTGTTGGTGGTGATGAGAACTCAGGCTCTTGCGAGCGTCGATGCGTTTCTGGATAGGAATCACTCGCGCTAGCGGATAGAACGAAACGAGTCACAAATCAAAAAGGAAACATTTTCTGTTTATAAGAAAAGGGTTAAATAGAAACACGATTACTCACCGGAGGCATAGCTAACTGTAAAATTCACGAGAAAGAGCATGACATACACCTGCAACAGGACGAAATTAGATGCTTAACCAGTCAAATTCGACAGACGCAGCTGGACTTCGATTAATACCGAGAGAACTTGGAAGTACGAATTAAGTCACTCCAACGAGAATATCAGGAAACAATGCGAGAACAGCAGCAGAACCACGTAAGTCAACTAGCTGATCAGCGTCAACAGCTTAAAGCAGATATGGAGCTGATGCGAAGAGAAAATCAAGAGGCGATTAGAAAAGAACGAGAGGCTTTTGAAGAACTACTGTCTGCTGAAGCAGAGGCCAGTCTAAACGAGTTAGAACGAGACATCAGAGAGCAAGGAAACCTCTCAGACGGGAAACAGAATTAAGGAGCAGCGCAACTGACAGTTCCTTATCCGAGAATTTTAAAAAAATCAAAAACAAGCCCATCATAGCAAGCAGACTTTTCTCGTACGCCAGCTTAGAAAAATATCAAAAAACCCGAAGTTCTAAAGAAGAGTTTTCTGCCGATTATGCTACTATAATAGATTTGCACGCTTTTGATAATTTTCTGAAGACTGACATCTTAAAAGTGGAGCAGACATTGAAGAGCGGGCCACCTAAACCCGCTCATGCAAAAGCAGCAACAGAACAAACAGGAAAAAATGTAGGTTTCATAGTTGGAATCACAGCTGTATATCCTGGGCTTGGACCGATTGCTGGAACAGGTGTTGCTTTTGTTGAAAGCTTTAAACTTTATCATGAAGGTATTGGTTAGTTGAAAATGCAAGGAAGAGAACGTTTGTTGTGCTACCTAATCTTGAAATAATCTTCTGACTTGCTCACAAAATAAATTGATCTTTTACTCCGGAAACTGGGCTTAGTCACGAAGAGGAGAGTGATGCTCATTCACTGAGAAAGAGCTCTTACCACTACACGATAGATATATTGTTTGGAAAGGAA